AGTATATATTAGTATATATATATATATATATATATATATATATATATATATATATTATATATATGCGTGTGTATGCGTGTATGGTTATAAAGTGTTGTCGAGTCTTTAATGTATAATATACCTACGGCATTTTTTTCTCCGCGGCTATTAATATCGTTTACCTTTAGTTTTACCTTTAATTCTTGTTAATTACCTTTTTTTTTTTTTTTCTTTTAACACTATATTGCTCTTTGTATTGCTTCGGCGGCAGTATAGCCCTACGTAGTCATGCATATGGTATAATTATTATTATTATTATTATTTTTTTTTTTCCGTTAATAGATATAATGTAACTGGTAATCCCTTCGTCGTCGTTCAATCGTCGTTGACATTTAGTAAATAATAATATATCGTCGTATGATAATGGGGTCAAAATAATATAATACAGTTGTAAAGAACGATAGTGATGACAGCAGTTTTAGCTAATATCGGTGAAAATAAATCGCCCATTAACGTTACGCGTTAAGTAACAGTATATGGTTTTTTTTCGTCGTAGATTTTCGTCCTGCTTCGTATAATAGATACATACATCTCGTAGATTCGTGTGTTCCTCGTGATTTCGATTACATTCAATAACGCGAACGACGCGTAATCATCGAAGCGATAAATCATCGTGTATAACGCCAGCCCTACCAAGTAATTCGATATAATTTCATCGGTAATACCGTGTCAACGTATCTATATAAATATATATAGTTAACTTCGCGTTCTGCGTGTGTGTACGGTTTTAATTTCTTACGTAAAAGCTATAAAATATGGATACCTGCGCAATTATTATTATTATTTTTTTTTTTTTTTGTCATTTACTTCTCTACTCTTTCGTTCTTTCCGTTATTATTATTCTTCTCTTCTCTTTTTTTTTACTTACATTCGCTCTCACACACACACGCACACACGTACACGCACTCACTCTCGCTCGTACTTTTTCTTTGACCTTCACGACAAAACTTTAGTATTATTTTTGCGCTCTCTACTCACTCGTCGTACCGTTGCTATTTTCTTCGAACTAAAGTTCGAATACTATAATATATATATATAATATTTTTTATGTATATAATATATATATATATATATTTATATATATATAATAGATTTATGTATATCAATGTAACCAGTGATGCGCATTTGTCGCGCTGCGTCGTATTACTTCATCTTATAAAAGCCATCGCTAGTCTCCTCGCTCCTTTTCTTCCTTTCTTTTTTTTCTTTTTTTTNTTTTTTTTTTTTTTTTTTTTTTTAATTATAATAATAACTCTTACTAAATCGTTTATTAGGCTCACTGTATAGTGTGTGTCACTCGTATGTACGTCGTGGCTATGTGGATGGGTGGGCGCGTGCTAGACGCTCACGTGTATAAATGTTCACTACATTTCTACCATTTCTACCATTTCTTGCTCGTACTCCCCTCTTTCACACGTCCGTTTCACTCTTTCTCTCTCTATTTTCATCCTCGCTAAATTATTCTCTCTTATTTTCTCGATAGCTTATTATCGTAACGAGTGGCAAATAATTATTCACTACATTTGTGTAAATGTGTGTGTGTGTGTTTGTGTGTACACGTGTGATTCGAGTGTGATACGTCCTTGTGTGTGATCCTGCGCCACTAAATCGTCATTACAATTAAAATTATTAAGGTTAAAAATTCACTCGGCCTATTTATTTATTTTTTTTTCTGCGCCGTTATTATTATTTATATTAATCGGTCGCAAAGGTACCTCATCGAGGATCCGCGACCGCCTACGAAGTTATTGCTTTTGAATACCCCGGCTTCCTTGGGAGCATCCAATTGGAACAATATCCTGTAAATATCAGTCGCACTTTAGAGGAGGCAGGGTATTTTTTTTTTTTTTTAGGTCGGTTTGTTCTTTTCTGTTGCCGTTGTGTTTTTTTTTTTTAGATTGGTGTGTGTTGTTCTCTTTTTTTTTTTCCTCGAGGATACTATCACAATGCATACAATATCAATATCTATATGCGTTATAGGTTAAGATTAAGGTTCACCTTATATCACATCCGTCCCTAACACCGTGGTTTGCGGCGTACGAGCTCATAAGGATCCATGGCGATGCTTTGGAAGCACGATTTTTCGAACGGAACGACGTTTCCTTTCAGACGTGAAAAAAACGTTAATTTTCAAGCAAGCTTCCAAGTGATAATATACACGTTAATATATTAAATTACTTATTGCTTTCTATGATATAATTTTAACTTTCTAACTATTTATTTCATTAACTTTCGTATTTATCTCACACATTGATCGCAAAAAAACATTTGTCTTGAAACGCCATCTACGCGTCCTAATGAAACCCGAGCGACATCCCACGGCGATTAGCTCATTAATTTAGGTTCGCAATCAATAATAACAATAAATAGTAATCATAGTTCGCAATCATTATCGTCATCGTCATAGTCGTTGTTAATAATTGGTACTCGCAAGCGTTTGTAATCTCGGATCATCGCTCGATATTGCTTCGTCGTATTTCTTGCTCATATCTTTCGTTTTCATCACGTATGTATCTTGTTTGTCTTTTTTTTTTTTTAAACCTTGTAATTGACACTGTCCGTACTCGTTGAAACGCATAAATACACGCTAATGAATAATTTTACTGATGTATATAGGCACTTTTTTCTTCGTTCTCCTCTTTCTCTTACTCTTTCTCTCCCTCTCTTTCTCTCTTTCCTCATTCTTTCCGCTTCTTTCTCACTTTCTCTCCCTCTCTTTCTCTCTCTCGTTTCATTCTTCTTACGCGCACTCTCTCTCTTTCTCTCGTTCTCTCGCTCTTATACTATTCCAAAACAACAAATTTGTCTATTAACCTTAAAAGGCTCCTTTTTTCAATAAGAAAAGCTTGCAGCTTTAAAAACAGACATTTGTGTTTAGACAATCGTTTCTTAAAAGCTAAAAACATTATGAAATCGAATCAAAATTCACGCCTATCATCTCAACGAAGAATCGATCAAATCATCTTCGTTAACAGAATTCTTTTGATATATAAAAAGGTATCGAGACAGTGACAGAAGGAATTGAAAGCAGGTTGAAGGAAATATGAGAGCAATTACGTGTCTCTTAACTTCTACCAAGTCTTTGCATAGTCGCTTTGATATGGTAATAAATAGGAAATATTTCACTTTTTGAGAAGATGTAATACAATAATACGTTAGTTGGTAGAAGATATATAGAGCTATATGAAAACAGAAAGTAGAAGTAGAAATAGGAAAAGATATAATGATAGATAGAAGAATTTCGAGCGAGAGGCTGTTGTTACATTTTCGCTTTCTGTTTCCGGACGTAGTAATTCGTACTTACTTTATAGAGCATTCGTATTCCAATTAAAAACTTGATCCAAATGTTTATTCCTCATCTTGATGAAATAAAATATGAAAAAAAAAAAAATAACATTCAAAATAAAATTGAAAAATTCAATGTTTTTTTCAATAAATAAATAAAGAACAAAAAAAATTTTTTTTCAGCTTCAATATTTTCACCATCTATATAAAAATAAATTATAACAAAATTTCTACGTCCACAAAACACTAGTGTCATTACACTCAATGCGCCTACGTGTATACATATATGTTTGTTAAAGTTTAATTATTAATTGCGAACGCTTTGCAGATTTTGCAATTGAGATGTTTCTCGTACGCATATAGTACTCGCAGACGAAGTAGAAAGTACAGTGAACAGTGAGAGTCATAGAGAGAAATTTCGTGTAATACGAGAAGTGAAAAAAGTGATCATCAGTAGATTCCTACTAAATTGAACTCTTCTTCGTGCAATGGCAAATATAAAATACTTTGTTCTTAATAATCAACACGACATGACATCTTTGACGATCACTTTTTTTATCCGTTTCTTTTTATCGATCGAAAATGCGCGCGAACATCGAAGAGCGAAGAAAATGACATTCGACTAACATAGTTGCATTTGTTGTCTACGAAATTTTACAATTTTTTTTTTTATTTTCGTTCTTCCTTTTTTTTTTTTATTTGTACTTAATATCACTGCTATATAAATGGTTAGCTTGCTATAACGTCTAATTAAACTAACGAGACTTACGAATTTATTGACTCGTTATTGACTCGTTTCTAGTTCTTGAGCAATCCTGATCGATTGATCGCGCGCATTTTATAGTTGGCCTTTTATTATCAGGTTATGCCATGCATAGAACAAGTTTCATGGGAACCTGGAGTCATTTTTTAAATGATTATTACGTGGGATAATGTGTTATTGCTTACATAGATAATTTTGTGACAATGACTCAACAAAATGCTCAAATTCTCATATCCTTTTTAATTGCCATTGAGCATTTCATTCCATTCATTGGAATGAACTGTATATACATTTAATTTCTCCTTTATTCAAAATGTATTTTATAATACATTTCTTTATAAAATTTTTTCTCACATTAAGGATCATTTTATGTATATACACAATTTTTCGTTAAATCAATCTAAAGAAGATTATGTCTTATTTCTTTTCTAGATATTGAATCAATAATTATGTTTTTCTTTTTTTCTCCTTTAAATATTTGATATTTATGAGTTTTGAGCATTTATTGAGTTATAAACTTCACTCGCAACATGTAATCTTGTCATCGAATATGGTCAATTATCGAAGTTTTCATACATAAAGGTGTTCAAATATTTGTACATACTCATGGACATTACATATGAAAAATTATTCTATATTCGAGTATTGCTTTTGTCTTGACTGGAGTACGTATGACTAGTTCTACTATCAGACATGAGCCGAATCGTTAATTTATCAGCGAAATTAATGTATCACGTTTTCATCTTTGAGCTCGCGTCGAAGCGCCAGAAACAACACTGTTTACTATCGCTTCGACGATCGTCCGAGTGGTCCAGTCGTTTTAATTTAAAAAACATAGCGTTTACGTTCCATATAATAATATTATTGACATGTTTTCTTATTTTCTTATTGAATATTACACCAAGTATAATTGAACATTTAATACATAATTTTTTTTTTTACTAATTTTCTTGTTCCACAAACATTAAACATCGACGACATAAATGTGGTTACACAAGTAGCCATTTAATCTCGTGCTTGAGCGTTATTGCTGTAAAGTTGCGTGCAACCTTTCTTATTTTCTCAACACGTTCATGTAAAATGAAAGATTTGCACGCGATAATTCACGAAATTGATGTCCACCATGCAGTTTTTACGAGCAGCTGAATCATCATTTTTAGATATAAATTCAATTAAATTTTTTTCTCTTCCAATATTCTTAATCATCTTTTCCAATTATATATCCTTTTTAAACAGAACAGAAATTTTTTTTTAACTGAAATTTATAAAATTATAACAAAAATATTTTAGATGTTCCTTGTGAAGTTTTCAATAAATTTGATTACCCATCAGGTTCCCTTCATTAAGATTTTCCAACCCAATATTTCGTTGCATCCAACTATCTACGATCCTTTGATCTCGACATTAAAGCGATCGCCAATTTCAAATTTAAGCTTATGATCAAGTATAACATTCAAACCTACAATTTGAAATTTATTCTCAATATTTGTGTGAAAATGCAAGAATATATCGATTTTATATACGTTACCTTTGCATTATGTTATTTATTTGCAATATTAGGTTAGGAATCTACTGGAATGTAGGTCACTGGATGCAATCAGTATTTAAGGATTATGCATGAAATTCATATGTTGTTATCCCAGTTTCAGCCAAATAAAAAGAAATATTCTTCTAATACTTGTTGAATTATTTTTAAATTTTTCTAAAAATAATGTATTAACTAATAATCTTTACCAGATTAATCAATTAATAAAAAACATGTTGTATTTTGTATTAACGATACTACGATTGAAATTATTATTGATGTACATTACACATTAAACAGTCATATTTGACATTTATGTATATATTTTTATATATGTATATGCGTACATCATTAATCATGTTCATAATTATTACTTTGAATTGAACTTTTACATGTATAACAATTTTCTGTTTAAAATATTATAGGATTTAAATGACTTACAACTTTTAAAATTTTATTAAAAATATTCCAAGAAACTGGGAAAACATATGAAAGTAAGTACATATGTACAAATGGTTTTATTACAACACGTTTATACGAAGAAAATTAAATTAATTACTTGGTTTTTATAACCAACGAATCCGAGCAATGTCACGTCGAGACAGGCTTTCATCTCCTGAGAAAAGCAACGATCATCACGCGATCACGAACGAACTAAAAAGATAAAGAAAAAATAACTAGATCCTTCACGCCGATATTTATCGAATATTGGCCCAACTGGGAACCCAGTTCTCGCCAGTATAACATTACTTATTTTATAGTGTATCTCGTCTCATGAGACTCTTATATATACTATATGCTTTAAAGTTTCACCTTTTTGATACCGCTACTATTTTACTTTACTAATTCTTTTACATCGTTACATCGTCCCTATACGGTTCTTATTTACACTATAGAACGCGGAGAAAGAGAAACCAAAGAAAAACATATGCAATCGAATGAAAAAATCACTAACAAAAAAATAAATGACAATAATATAATTAATCCACAATAGACAATAATTAGGCGAGTTTCGTTAATTCGCTAATGCATATGTGCATATACTATGAATATATACAGTGTATATAATATATTATTTTTATGCATCAAAAATGTGCGTGAGCGATCGGATTTATTACGCAACTGTTCTCATTCGTCGTATTTTTAAAAAATTTAATGAAATTATTTTTCATATTTCATTTTTTTAAATATAAAATAGAATTGTTTCTTTCTTTCTTTATCTTTATTTTTTACTTCGTTTTTCGTGTTCCGGGCTTTTCGTATTTTTCTATTTCTTCGACTTTTCAAAAAAGAAAAAAAGATGCCGTTGCACGATCGCGCTTCGATATTCAAATCTATACACACGTACGTAATCTATATAACTTTATAGTTCTCGACAGTTTGCAGGTGGCGCGATGACTAAGGAACTAAGCTGAATAATCTTTGGCGGTTTGTTGTAACAAGATTGATCTTTCTTGTTTTGTAACAGTGGTGTTAAATTTTGTGTTATCAATATCTACAATATCATCGAAAATGCACGCACATTGTTCTTTTATGTAAGTTTATAATAATTTATTAGAATGATTGATGTTTGTTGAACAAGTACTGGTTGCATTGTACTTCTATTATTAATAATGGCGGGAAAGAAACTATTCTTTTTATTAGCGAATTTGTTAATCGATTGTTCACGTGAAGTATATTCAAATATCATTAAAATAATCACGATCTGAATAAGAAATAAATATATTATTTTTTTTTAAACATATTTTCTAATACATTCTATCATATATATGTATATTGTCTACTTCGATATATATATTCTTTAATTTACTTTGTGAAATATTATTCATGATAGAAAATAAATCTTACATAATCATCATATAACAAATACATTACTTCATTTATAATCATATAATTTTACTTTTTAAAACATATTTTTTATATTTATAATATCATTAATATGTTGATTAAATTTCTAATTGCAGAAAAATTATCGGCCATTTTGTAACAGAATCTTCATGTCACCACTACGTTCATATATCAAGATTGGTAAGTTTGAAAAATATATTCAATTTAATAATTCATTATCGTCTTCAACGATAATATATTTTCAAATGTTTCTTCTTGCGTACATCTTCGATAGAATAATTCGATAGAATAAAGTGAAAAGTGAAAAACAAATCGAAAACGCAAGCGCGAACGATCCGGCAAAAATAAAATCTGTTGAGAACGTATGAATTGATTGTAAGAAACACGCTTATTGTGGCTACTTTGTTGTGTACATGCGTACTTAATGCTAGAACTAGATCCTGAACACATCGTTCTCTAAGTGACATCGTGCTATTAAGCGCATTTTATTATCATCGACGGAGTCTAAGGTACTCGGCCTCCTCGAATATGCTGTAAAACGAGGTTGCATTCTCGATTCTCACATATAATACGAATATATCTGTCAAGATGTATGGAAGGGATTGGTGTTTCTTATGCGTGGTTTAAGGTAGTAAGTCCATGTCTTACACGAAAGTCACGTTGGCGAAAGCTACAATTCCCTTACATAAATTACCGTTTATCGGAATATATAAAATATATTATGTATAATAATATATTATATATATATCATAACTGTGTACACTATGTTATTAGCTATCCCTATATTGCATGTATATTATATTATATTAGATAAAGGACGCGCGTTTAATGTTCATTTGAAGATTCAGGCGTTCGATTCGTATTCTCTGTTCTACAAATATACATACAAAGTTACGTTCACTGAACGAGCCATGGGCGCGGTTCGAACCAGGAACATCATTGGCTCACTCGTACTGCAACCGATAGGGTCGCGTGTGTATAT